ATAGGACTTACCCATTCGTTGTTAGAAATAGGATAAATGATTCCATTATCTAGAAGCTTAATGACTTCATTTTTCACTACTTCTTTCATATTAGGATTGAGCCTTCATTGCAATTCCCTAGAGGGTTTAAAATTTTCTCCAAATAAATTCTATGTGTATAAATCGAAGGACTAATTCCTTTTATGTCAGCTATGGTCCATCCTAATGCATTTTTGTGCATTTTCAGAGTTTGTAATAACTTACCTTCTTGATGTGCATTAAGTTTAGAAGAGATTATTACCGGAAAAGTTTCATTTTCTCCCAAAAATGAGTATTTGAGACTGGATGGCAACGGCTTCAAATCAGGTTTTGGTGGTTGAACACTTGAAGGTATGGACTTAATTGGTCGTGGTGGCAATTCCTCAATTTGTGGCCTCCAAAATTACTTGCCTTTGATTCTTCCTGAAAATAAACCATTTGCAAATTATCAGATTCATCAATCTCAATTTAACTGGAAGTGGTTTGAAATTTATCATAAATTAATTTTTCTGTAAAATTCACTTCTTGTAAATCATTATCATCTCTGGGTTGCTTGCAAATGTTGAAAATATTCATCTCCAATGTCATGTTTCCAAATGATAGCTTCATCAGTCCATTCCTACAATTAATCAATGCATTAGAAGTTGCAAGAAATGGACGTCCTAAAATAACAGGAAATGAATTACATACTTCAACAGGTTGTGTGTCCAAGACAATAAAATCCACAGGATAAATGAATTTATCGACTTGTACTAACACATCTTCAATTATTCCTCTAGGCACTTTTATAGATCTATCGGCAAGTAAAAGAGTTATAGAAGTTGGTTTTAACTCACCTAGATTGAGACTCTGAAAAACTGAATATGGAAGTAAATTCACACTAGCACCAAGATCAAGTAAGGCTCTTTCAATTTTATGCTCTCCAATAAAGCAAGAAATTGTAGGACAACCAGGGTCTTTATATTTCAAAGCATTATTGTTCTGAAGAATAGCACTTACTTGTTCGGCTAGAAAGGCTTTCTTTTTCACATTCAGTTTCCTCTTCACAGTGCATAGATCTTTCAAAAATTTAGCATAGGAAGGAACCTGTTTAATAGCATCCAGCAAAGGTATATTGATCCTTACCTGTTTGAAAATTTCAAAAATTTCAGAGTTGTGATTAACTTTCCTTTGTTTGGTCATGGCTTGAGGAAATGGAAGTGCTGGCGATGAATCAGTAGTTTCTTTGCAATTTTCAGATTCATCCCCTTCCTTACCCTCAGAGATTGACTCATCATCTTTCTCATAAGGTTCAAGAGAGGGTTTTTCAATAACCTTACCACTGCGCAGAGTAGTGACTGATTTGACTTGATCCATGTGTTGGCTTCCGGAACTACTTGCATTTGCATTGTATTGCCCCATGATATTTTTTTATGGTTGAGATGGAAACTTACCTTTCTCTTGGAAACTGAGAGTAGATGTTAATTTTGCAAGAGTATCTTTAAAATCTGTCATGCTTTGAGCAAGTTGAGTATTGATTGTCTCTTGCTTTTTAATAAATGCATGAAATATTTTCTCAAGATTTTTTCTAGGAGATGGAGCATAAGAAGGTGCATATTCATAAAATTTTTGGAAATTATGGTGTTCTTGAAATGGTGGTTGTAAAGTATGTGCATTATTATTATTATTATCACTCTTTTAACTAAAATTTAGGTGATTTCTCCAACTAGGGTTGTATGTTTGTGAGTATGGATTATGTTTGGGTCTCTATTTAAAGCATGAGCTTGGTCATGGAGACATTCCTTAAAAGAAGACAAATTTGGATAGTCATTGGTTAAGTGTTTATTGATTTCATAGATTTGACACATAATGCCTTAAACAGATTTTAATTGACCACTCTTTTTCAATCCTAGTGCCTTGACTTTTCTAGTTAAGGATGTAAACTTGGCTTGGAGGTCATGATCTTCTCTAAGGTTGTACATATCTCTATTAGATGTATGAGATTAAGTTTTACTTAAAAGTGCATTTTATCAAAGTTTTATATCATCATTTTGCACTTGAAATATCAATAACTCCTTAACTAAAACATGATTTATAATAACATATCTAATAATATAAGCTACCTTTAATTTATTATAAATGTTCATCTTAAATGTAGGCCTATCACATAAATGAAAGAATTGATTAATGAGTTTAAGTACTGAAATTCAAAGGACAAAGAGATGGCCAAACTTA